AGAGATTGTGGTGGTGACGGGAATGAGAGATGAGGGTTTGTAGAGAGAGAATGTGGATAAATGTAGAGAGAGATAAGAAAGTAGAATTATTTAGGGTTAAGATTTTTTTAAATAATCAATATAAAAAAAATTTCTGATTTTTGAAATATCAAACTTCCTATCTGATTTCAGAAAGTTGAATATTTAAAGTATGGTTTAGTGTAATTACCACTAATAATAATAATTTTACACTTTTTTTAAAGTTATTTATAGTAACTTTACCTTTTTCTTTTTGTTAAACCCAGTAGATTAAAAAGTTGCATTAGTACTTTTTCTATATCTTACTTATTAAAGTCATTTTGTTTCGAATTAAAATCAAATTTTAATCTAAATTAAAGTCGAACAATCAATATTAATCACATTTTTCATGGGTCCCACAGCTTTTCAACCACACATTTCAAAAATTTCTACTAAATTAATGTTTGACAATCATTACTTTTGAGGCATAACTGTCCTATTTTAATGTTCCACCTAAATTGTCACATTATCGATATTTCATCATTACAATGATAAGTAGCATTATTCATTATTTTAAAACTTTTAGCTCTCATACTCATTTTCAATTACATTTACGTAATAAAATATTTTGTACGTAACCTCGAAATTTTTTCTATTTTTTAACAACATATTTTCAAAAAATTACTATTTAAAACTCTATTTTCTCAAAATAATGACGATCTAACATGGGCTAAATGTACTTGCGAATAAATTTAAAATAAATATTTTCTTTATTGATTAAAATTGAAAATAATTACTTATCTTCTACCATAAATAAAAGAGTGAGTTCTCAAATTACTGTTCATAAGCCGTAAGCCAAGCCGAATGGCTTTTTGGCTCGGCCAAGCCGACTAAGCTTTTTTTTTTTTGGTTGGCCCTTCTGATTCAGTATCCGCGAGCCGAGCCGAATGGCTTTCTGGCTTGACTCGACTCGACCAAGCCGTTTAAGTCATTTTTTTTTTCCAGTATTTTAAGTTACAAATATGCGTTTTAAGCGTTTTAAAATTTGTTGAAAATGTTGAAATGCGGCCATGATAAATATATGGTCGATAAATTTTAAATATCAAAAATAATTTTACATTAATTGTGAAGCGTAAAGTCGTGATTGTTATGTTTATTTTCAATCTCAACCCCATTTCAATGTCCTTTTTTCGAACTTTATTTTTCCTACAACGTTTGATTCGATATTTTATGTGTTTTAAGCGATTTAAAATTTTTTGAAAATATTAAAGTGCGGCCATGATAAATATATGGTCAATAAATTTTAAATATCAAAAATAATTTTACATTAATTATGAAACGTTAAGTCGTGATTGTTTATATTTCTTTTCAATCTCAACCTCATTCCAATGTCCTTTTTTCGAACTTTATTTTTCCTACAACGTTTGATTCGATATTTCACGATATGAATATTCATTTTGATCGATTTAAATTTTTTAAAAAAAAACTTAAAATGTGATAATAATAATAATAATAAATATATTGTCGATTAAGTTTAAATATAAAAATTATCTTAAATTATTAAACGTAAAATCATAATCGTTAATTTTTCTTTTCTACCCACCCTCAAAAAAACTTAAAATGTGATATGCAAGGCCACAAAAGGTTTGTACTTCAAGAAAATTGAGGAAGAAAGAAGAAACAACAATATCTTGGTAGTTTGTTAGTGTATGGGTGTTTTTAAAATTGAATTGATTTATATTGGTTATTTATGATGAATAATTTCCAATTTTGTTTCTAACTTCTTTTTTTTTATTTGTTTATTTTTCATTGTAACTTTAAGGTTTTCTTTTGAAGAAGTTTTGATAAATAAAATTTAATTAGCGATATTTCAAAAAATAACCAAAAATCAATCAACGCTATTACGTAGCCATCTATACGGCGGCGCCTAACTATTTTCTCAATAAAAATCAGTATTATTTAAATTAGTAGTTTTTTATATTTATAAATAATTCCATTAACCTTGTCTTGAAGAAAAAGCCACCCCCACTCATATCTACTGCTGATATACTGTGTCTTGTAGATACATACGCATTACTGTATCTATATCCCGTATCACAAAATGTTCAGGAACCAGTATGATACGGACGTAACGACATGGTCACCGGCGGGGCGGCTGTTCCAGGTGGAGTACGCCATGGAGGCAGTGAAGCAGGGTTCGGCAGCGATAGGTCTGAGATCGAAGAGCCATGTGGTTTTGGCTTGCGTAAATAAGTCCAACTCCGAGCTCTCGTCCCATCAGAAGAAAATTTTTAAGGTTGACGATCACATCGGCGTCGCCATTTCCGGCCTTACCGCCGATGGGCGTGTGCTGTCGCGCTACATGCGTAATGAGTGTATTAATTACTTCTATTCGTACGAGTCGCAGCTTCCCGTTGGTCGTCTTGTCGTTCAGCTTGCCGATAAGGCCCAGGTCAATGATTAAACCCAATTTTCGTTTTCGTTATCTTTGTTTTTTTTTTTTTGGTGCATTGGAGAGGAGATATTGTGTCTAGATCATGGGAATTGAGGGGTTGAGCTTCTAGATTGAGTGTTCAAAATTTTATCAAAGAATTAAATTTATACCTTTCAGTTTTTACAAAGCAATTTAATTGCTTTTTCGTAAAAACCCTAATTCTCATTTTTAATTTTCTGGATCATGGGAATTGTGCATTTGAGAATGAGAGATGTTATATTGTGTCATTAATTTTGAGAGGTTGGGGCTTTAGATTGAGAGGGAATTTTTTTAATTATAAATGTTAATAAAACATCAAAGAATTGGATTTTATATTTTTTGGAAAGCAGTTTTCTTGTTCCTTAGTAAAATAATTGGATTACCCTTCGAACTTCAATTCCTGTTCTGCGCAATTTTATTTAGTTGTGCAATTCTATCATTTTTGTATAAGGTGAAATAAGCATTGTTTCATTTGGGAAGTCTGAAGTTGGTGTTTAGTATTATAAAGTTGGAGTTAATAGTATGGGATAATGGGAACTTTGCAATTTGAAACCTTGAAAAAACTTATAAAAAGTTTGGTTTCAATTGAATCCACAATAAATAGGTTTTGTGAAATTTGAAAATTAAAGTGAATTAAGAGAAGTTAAAGATCGAGACTTGATTTACATGCCCCGTTCTTGGTGAAACTCAAGTTAAAGTCAAGTGATAAGAGGGAATGAATGTTGAAAAAAGGAGATGCTTCATAGTACTTTGTCGTCTTTTGTTTGATTTATTTAAACAATAGTCATCTTGAATCCTAGCCGAAAGTTTTGCATCCCAAAGTTACTCTCCGAGTTTATTAGAATTTTCTTCTTCTGAGTAATGTAATATGGTTATTATGTTGGTATTTAGAATGAAATGTCTGTGTTTGATAGGGAGAGTGATGATGGTAGTTCATCTTTTGGATTTTACTTTTGTAGATTTCATTTGGATTAACTTAAAAAAAATTGTGGATTTGAATGCTTTAAGTATTGATACATGACCAGAAATCTTATGCTGTTGGCAGATTTTGGTGTTGTTACTCATCATTCTCAGTAGCATGGTCTTTCTTTCTTTTGTGGTACTGCTATTCATAATTTCACGTTCTAAAATTTTGTTTGATTGCAACATGGAAGCGCCATCTTTAAGTCTTTTGGGCTATTAGGCAAGATATTAGAAGGTAGTAATTGTTAAGTTCTTATAAAGAGAAACAATATGTTTATTACAGACTGTTAATAATGTGTTCTCTCGACAAAGGTCTTCATGAATATTTGTGCACTAGACTTTATAAGATATGGACTTGGAACATAGTCATTGAGGGGAAAAACATGACAGTTTCTTGAAAAGAAGAGAGAAATCCAAACCAAGCCTGACAAATAAATAGTTGAGATAAGAAGCAAGCTTTTAACTACCGATAATGAATGCTGGTGATTTCTGTGAGGCGATTTTTATCCAATTAGATCGTCAAAAAGTGGTTCCTGGGAGAAATATCGTATGGTCTTTATCTTGGAAACATGACAATGTTAAATGATATAGAAGGGTCATCTAATCTGGATAACTGTAAACAGAAGTTCTTTTCTTAGCAAAAAAATTCTGGATGTTGAGTGGGAGGGCCTCTTTCAATTTTTTTTTTAATTTTTTTTATTTTTTTTTTGGGACAATTAGTATGTCCTACATGTTGATGTGCTTTTATTTGCATGTATTACAAAATTTATCTCAATGTACCCTACCTCTTACCTGGAGGGAAGGGCGACGGGTGTTAAGAGTTGAAGCAACATTGATTATATAGATGTTGAGTTGGGGATAAGCTTTGTATGTGAATTAACTTAAGGACTTCTGTAGGGTTTCGAAAAATAATAGCCCGTCATGTTGTACAATGAATTTGAATTATAAAGTTATGATATCCATGTTTAAGGCTGTTTGAAAACTTTCCCATTCAGGTGTGTTATGGTCATCTTTAAAACTGCTGATATTGTGATGTGTTGGTGTCTAAATATTATCATACTATTGTAATAACTAAATTATCTACATATTGCTTGCTTCTTAAATGCTACAATCACAATCAAAATCAAAATCGGGTTCACATGTCAACTGGTATTGAAGATGAAATTGGCCTATGTAAGTGCCAAACATACTCGATTGATCATTCTGCTTCTTATATGGTGATCCAAATTCTATATGCATGTCTGGAACAAGTTAGTTTGGGACTTGAAATGTGCAATTTTGTCCAGATTTACATGATTCGTTACTGCCCTTCCATCAATCTTAAATATTGTGAATGATTGCATTGTTTGATTTTCCTTCTCTTATTTCTCTTTATAGCAGCTTGCTTCAGTTGGCTCATGCTACGACCTGTGAGCATCATTATGGCCTCACATCTTGTTCTTGTTTTCCTGAGGTTATTGCAGAAGCCGCTCTTATCTTTCTTTATTGCAGGTTTGCACGCAACGCTCATGGAAACGGCCTTATGGTGTTGGCCTGCTGGTTGGTGGCTTAGACGAGTCTGGCGCTCATCTATATTACAACTGTCCAAGTGGTAATTACTTCGAATATCAAGCTTTTGCAATTGGATCTCGGTCACAGGCTGCAAAAACATACCTAGAGCGCAAGTTCGAAACTTTTATGGAGTCTTCGCGGGAAAATTTGATCAAGGACGCACTTTTTGCCTTGAGGGAGACATTACAAGGAGAGAAACTAACAAGCTCCACATGCACAATAGCTGTAGTAGGAGTTGGAGAGGCATTCCGTATATTGGATCAAGAAACCGTGCAAGCGCTAATCAATGAATTCGAGATAGCAGGTGAAGATGCCCCTGCAGACGAGGCTGCTGCTCCAGATCCAGCTGCTGATTCGGAATCCGGTGCTACTGCTGCCGATCAGGTAACCCCCTCTGACCCAGACGTCACTCCAATGGACATGTGATAACGTCATCTTCTTTGGAACCTTTCATTGTTAAAGAAATGAGTTTGTCATGTTGGCATCTTAGAAATGTTGTTTTCTGGTTGTATACTTTATTTGTATGTAGTGCTTCATCTATGCAACAGTTCGAGTGTACCCTTGTTGAACACGATCATGAATTTCCTGTAACGTTATCATTTTGGTTACGGTATTTGTGTCTATCTGGTTATGGTCACAATCACGGTTGTAGTTTGACTTTATCACAATTTTAGTTTCTTCTTCATGTTTCTTTCCTTTCTTTTATTATTCTTATGAGTAATGTTATTTAGCACGACTAGTGCTGCCTAAGCGGCATAACATGAGATGCACTATTCAGTTGGTCACATTATTCTACTTTGAATTGGACATGTTACATTGTGTCACCTAAATTGATGTTGTGACATTACTCTATTCTTATTGTTATTCTTGTACTTCTTTGAGTTTTTAGTTTCCCTTTCCCCCTTAAAGAAGTGTGAAGGATAAATGAGCCCCAATTAAATTGATAATTGACTCAATTTTAAATTTAGGAGACTTGTACTTCCAATGATTTTGGGTGTTTTAGAGCATTATGTAATCAACTGAATCTTAAATTAACTGTTTGAGTACTTTTTCTATTAAATTTCTATTTTAATAGCGTAAATACATAGAAGAAATTATGCGTATTAGTACTAAAAGATATATGGGATATTAAGACAAAGCTTATAATTAGAATTTAAAGGGCAAATAGAGATTGATTTAGATATTGATAAAGCTTGAACTTATACATTATCACAGCCAAGTTACAAGCTACAAAAGCCTCATGAAGACAGTTACACATTCCTGTTGAGTTCGAACTTCTAGGAGCATTTTTTATACAATAGCATCGCTACAAAACAAAACAAAGTTTCAACTTGAAATCATCATGAAGTTAATTGTATATTTCTGCTAACGATAAACTTCATGGGAGTAATTATCATTGAAACCAGTGCTACAAATTAAAACAAAGTTGTTCGTTTATGGGTGCAGTTTCAGTAGTTAGATGGAAATGTCAAAATGAGCAAAACAATTTATTTTTGGTCAACGGACATTGATAAATTTATTACAAAGGATAAATTATTAATTAAAATTATAAAAAAAAAAAATCATATTTTCGTTAAATTTTTTTTAAAAAATATCACTTTTACAAATAATGAACTCAACTCTCTTTGACTTGGCTACATTCAGATTTTCATTAACTATTGATAGAAAAAAGACGTAATACATGTGTGGTTCAAAATGAGTTCAAGAAAAAAAATCACAAAATAAAAGACATACTAAAACTTAATATTAAAACTATTAGCTTGTCTGGGAAGGGTATTGCAAATTGCAACCACAGAGGCAAGATGACGTTACAATTGAAGGAGTCAAAAAAAAAAAAAATTCAATTACTTGCTGCTCGACACTTCTGCTCCTCCAATTCCACCATTATTTTTCCCCCAATTTTCTTGCAGAGACCAAGTTATAACAACTTTTCAGTACCTTTTCAAAAACAAAGTAAGTCTTGTTATGAATTCAAAATACAATAAACCAATATTTAATTAATAGGAAAAAGCACATCCTCCATTTTCAACTGAACCTAGTGAACTCCAAAAATTAGCACTTGCATAACTTCTCATTAAAAAGAATCGAAAAAAATTTAAAAACTAATAAAAACTAAAATCAATAAGATATAGCCCCCGGTTGGTGCACATTTTGAAGGTAAGAATGCATTTTTACTGTTGATGTGATGGGGAATAGATGGTTGAAAAAGAAGGAAAAATTATTGATGTAATGGAAAATATTATTTCATTGAAAAATGTGTGGTTGGAAATGAGTCGAAAAATGAAAATGAAAAAAATAATGTGAACCAAACGGGACCAATAAAATCCCAAAAATAATTAAAAAATGTCCATTTTGCTGTAAGAGTCACATAAGGCTGAACATGGTCCAGTTCAGTTCAGTTCTCTTCAAAATCGAATCGAACCAAACCAAAATTTTCGGGTATTTAATAAATGGAACTGTCGGGTCCAAATATAATTATGGAACCGTTCGGGTTCGATTCCATTCGATTCTATTCAGTTTCATATCATAATTAAAATTTTTAGTAGATTTCTAATGGTCAACGATCGGTAGTTGTGACTTCGATGGACATTAGAGAGGGGAAGTCAGATTTGGCAGTCGACGGTTTCGATTTGGGCATGTAGATGTATGTTTTCAATTTATCAAATGATTTGGGGTTAGTGACTCAGTGGTTACCAAATGAAAGTGTAAAATTGGAAAGAGAATGATAAAAACTTTAAAAGGTCTGGATCTTGGGTTAAAAATGAAATTAATAATACGACCAAAAAATTAAATCAAAAAATTGAATTTAGAAATTAGGTTAGATTAGGCTGGGCTAGTTAGACATGGATTTGGCTTGAAAGTTAGAACAGTAATCATTAAATTAGTTAATTTGCTAATTTGTTTAGAAAAATTAAAAAATAGTAATTAATTCAATATAAAAAATTTTAAAAAATTGTTTAAATTCAGTTCTTCAGTTCTTGATTTAGAACTGAGAATGGAGCCAAACTCGTCGATTCTCGATTCAGATACTTGTTCGGGTATTTAACTTTTGAAGAAACGCTCGGTTCGAGAGTTTTGTCCTGCTATAGTCTCACACAACTCAAATCAGTAAAGGCAATAACTTAAAACACCGAAAAAGAATTTGAAATGAACATAGTTTTGATATTTTTTGTTCGATCTCGTAAAAAGAAAAAAAAAAGTGGAAAATCTAAAACTAAAAGCCAGAATCTTTTTCAAACACTATTTTCCTATAGTTGTCAACTAATGAAGAAGAGGTTCCAATTCCACTTGCTTACTATCAATTAAACAAATTGGATAATAGCTCAAAAAATTACTCAGTGCAACAAATTACAACAAAAAACTGAAGCTCCAATAATTATTAGATGATAGTAAATTTTATTAAAAACTAAAATCGTTTTCAAAAAATATCATTACATATATAGTTTTCAGAATTGAAAATACTTTCATTTTACATCTCTTTGTAATGGTCCATTCAATTTAAAATGGAAGTTATCAAATTGTTTCGTATAGGCAATGCCATGAAATTATCAATTATGAATTAAACACCCATACACAGTGTGAGAACATGATCAATTTCATAATTGCATAACACTCCCTTTCATAACCATGGATATAAAGATATGAAGACAATATTTACACTAACAGAAAGCTAAATGACCTCAAAAAAAATAAAAATGAATGACGATGCATTTAATGAAATTCTACATATCTCTTCAACAAGAAAATAACATTGTAATGCAACATGTAATTCCACTAAAATAGTATTAAACATGAAAGTATAAGTACTCACACCTGCTGCTAGCACAAAATAAAAACAACAAAGATCCCAATAGATGTCTATCAGTCAGACATTGCACAATATCAATGAACAAACGTAAGATTCAAGTGGTACGAATGGATGAAATGACAAACCAACAATTAAAATAATTTAAGAAATTGAAACACAGTAAAAAAAATGGATACGTATTGCAATGTGGATTGAAATGTTGAATGTGATTAACTTAATAATCAGTGAGGTAAATACTTCATGCACCAATCACCAAAAAACCATCATCATCAGCCTTCGTGAACTCCAAATCCAAATGACAAGACTCTGTTTTATTGGACAGTAATACACAAAGTAGAATTGGACTCTTATTGCCTACGTTACATCGAACTAAACTTTTCTTTGTCGCATCACCAATTTCCAGTGTTGCCTAAAAAATCAATGAACATATGACAACAAATCCTCAATGCATAAATTCAATATTTAACTAAAAATGACGCCCCAAATTAAGCCAAAATTTAGCAATTAATAATTTCAAACAACTAATCATAGTATATAAGCATTAACATCTTAATTCGTAACTTCACCTTTTAATTACAGAAAATTCTTCCAAATTAACATGAAATGTATCAGCTATAATGACAAGAAACATAGAACAATACATAAAAATGATGAAAGATACCTATTCAATAGCGAAGCTAAATTAGAGTTCAAAACTGAAAAGTCTTTTATGCTCCTATTTACTTGAGAAATTCGGAGCCTTCTTCTACTTTTCCAGAAGAACGAGTAACCAACTTTTTGGGTTTCGCTCATGTTCCTGATACATCACCAAAAAAGAATTAAAAATCACTATGGAATAAAAAGGAAACACGCGCTTAAGAAATCAAAGTCCAAAATGAATACCTAATTATTTTCCATATCTAAAATTATATATTTTAAGTTCCCATTCTAAAATTGTTACATCGTGCACGCTTAGACCCCTAAACAAATTGGGACTTCTCAAGTTTTAAACCCTTTACATGAAATGGTCGAAAAACTATGCAAAAACACCAGCAATAAGACAGGGAAAAACTCACGACAAAACCAAAAAATACATAACACAGTTCAAAGTAAATCACAACCAAATCAAAAAACACATAGATCTGTACGATTTTCTCACCGTTTGACTAAGATCACAACGGAACATTCAAAGATCAACAAGAACGAGTGATTTATGTAGAAGGCATGTTCCGAAAAGTGTGTAAAATATATACACATTTACAAGACGAGACCATAATCTTGAAATGTGGACAAGAATCAAAGATTTCTGTTGGAGATCCTAAAATTATCAGACGAAAATTCGAAATACTGTTGGTGGAGCTATTGAGATGAGGTAACACAGTTGCGGTGGAGCTGTTGGTTAGGGCTTCACTCGAAGAGAGAGAGAAGGAAAGGAAATGGAAATGGAATGGAAAGCTGAAGAAAGAGAAAATGAAAGGAATAGGGAAAAGGGAAAGAATGAGAAAGTTGAAACGATATGACGTATAGGACAACACAACTTCCCTTCTCACATGCAAACATAAAGTACAAAGAAGTNATATAGGGATAACAAATAAGTAATAACTATGAATGCATATTTAAATTAATATTAAATCATTTATAAGTTGGTTGCCAAACGGCATATAGGCCATGAGCCATTTGTCCCAATACAACCCCGGAGTTTCCCTGGACCAGCCAACTGCACGAATCGTACGAGGCCATGTCTATTTGTGATGTGCTGGGCCATGCTGCTCATCTCAGTTAGGCAATGCCAAATCCTATGACATGAAAATCTGTTTGAAGGATGTCAATGGCTTGTATGATGTAGCAAAAGAGTGAAAACAGAGATCAAATTTACGTGATTTGCCATCATGTATTATGTAAGATTATAATCCTAGCAAATTCAGCAAAAGGAGAAGTATCAGGTACAAAGAAACCGACAGCATTGTCTTTGCACATAGCTTTACAGACTGGTTCCTTCGATAAACCCGGCGTGGCCGACCAGGCAGCAAAGTAACGTGAATAATAAGTCCACCCAAAAACATGTTTATTTTTATTTGTCAAAAAAGATGAACCATTCTCTACAATTTGGCACAGGTCTGAAGTTAGCGATAACTAAAGGCGAAGTTACCCGTGAAAGATCTCATTGAGCAGCCATTGGGGCTTTATCCGGTAGAATGTTATCAGGAAGAATGAATTCTGGAGGAGTTTCACGAACTACACCAATCATTGAATCATACTCCTCATCACATCGAGCAAACTTCTTGCGAAGCATCTTTTCAAGCTCGATCTCATCAAAAGATTTGGCGTTTTCAGCAGCATGGACTTTCGCCAGGTTGGTATAATTCAACGCTGATTGAGAGATAAAAGCTCTGATTGAGAGATGAAAGCCATCTCTTCATCCGTAAGCTTCCGAGGAACTTTGCCCGATTACCTCCCCACACCAGTGACGTGCGAATTCCAAACGCATAATGATATTTAGTCCATGAAATTTAACATGCAGTTCAACATTTGGGAAATGCATATTCTCTTTCGATTTTTGGTATCAGAATAGAAGCTGTACCTCACCAAAAGGCACTCGTGTGTTCTGTTTCACAAGGGCTCCCGCAGCAACCATGGCATCTTTCTCTACAACCACACCATCAAGCAGTGTGGCTCCCATACCAACAAATGCCTCGTCCTCGATGGTTCAGCCATTTATAATAGTTGGCAGCACCTTTCCACTTATATTAGATTTTGCCACATACAGCACCTTTCCACTTATATTAAATTTTGCCACATGCACAACGGGGAGTTGTCTTATATATAAGTATATTGGTTCTAGACCCAACACTGATGCTATTCACATCACCTGGTGAATAACGAGACACCCAAATCAAATTACATCATAAAAGAGAACAAATATAATATTCTTCCTTGATAAACATTTTCTGTAACCCTAAGATTTAAGGTGTCAAGGCAAGCAAACTTATCCAGGTCATAAAGCCTTTTAAACAATCAAACCAAACTAAAGATATAGAAGAAGATCAATGCAAACCAGAGGCACAGACCAGAATCAAGGTATAATTTGTTTATAGAACCATATAAAAAATCCGCAACATGAGTTGCGTGTTTGATGGCAAATACAGGCTCGAGTCCAATCAATGTTTTGCAAAATCAAATTCAAGTAACAATCTCAAATTATCCAGATAACATGTGAACAGGTATTCCCAAAACTGCAAAATCATCACCAAGTTGCAGAAACAATATTATTTTCCTGTTTTCCTATGATAGAATCAATTGGAACTAACTTGGTCCTTAATGTTTCACAGAACTCATAAAATTACAGTGGTTATCAGCAATTTATCTAACAATAAGTCATATAAGGAAATGTTTTATGCTTACTAAGGACCCTATAAAACACAAGAAAGTCCTTATATTTATCCAAATCACAACCATCCATTCAGATAGATGTAGCTTATATCAACGAAAATGATAAAACCGTAGGCAAAAACCAAGTTAATTAAAACGATAAAAGCAATAGGACAAAATAAAGAACAATGTTATAGACTGTAAAGTGGAAAAGTTTTCAATTATAATCTTTCAAACACAGTGATGTAGGACATCCCCATTATTATTATAATAGGATTTTTGTTTCCTTTTAAATTGGGATTTTCTTTCTTTAGAATTTTAATTTTCTTTCCTTATATTTGTAAAATTAGAGAGTTATTTTGCTTATATAAACAAAATCTTTGCATATTTTTCAATTAACCAATTCATTATAATCAAATTATTCTCTATATATTTTTGAGTTTTTCAACTTTATTCTTGTTTCAAGAATTTCAAATCCACTTTAACACCACTAGCATATAATTAGTGGGAGTGCTTTCATTTTATTTTGAAACAGAAGTTGATTTCTTTCACCTCCTTGAATTTAAGGGGCACGTTAACATTAGAGCATATAGCATGTAGTAAAGTTTATTTTAACTAGAGAATAAAATGAGTAACACACGTGTTTAATTAGCCATGCCTCTAGGATAGTCTAGATTCATGATGTACCATATCGCACTACACTCATTTCATCAAAGTTCAACAATTTCTTTCACGAAGCCAATAATTAGGCCTATTTCAGTATCATTCATGTTTCCAAGAGTTTGCAGTCCATAAATTCTTGTAAACTTAGTTGGCTCAATTATTTGCAAAGGATCCATTGTAGCATGTATTAATCAGGGATCACATATTAAAATCCAAAGTCATTTTATTGTTAGTATATTATTAGAATATTATTTACTTATGGCTAATTAGATATTTTTTTGTAAATAATAGGTAGTTTCCATGTATAATTTGTATCCAAAATATCTTGTAACATTATATAAACAAGGGAAGACAAACGAGAAGAGAATCCCGCAAATTATTGTCATGGTATTAGAGCTGTAAACCTTATTTCTCGAAATTGTGGTGGTGCTTAGTTTACTGTTCCTCATAGTAGGCATCATCTATGGTCACCTCTTTGGTTTTCGACGTTGTCTGTGGTCGGCGTCTGTAGTCAAGCCTTTGTCCAGCGAAGTCAGGTTAATAGGTGGTCGCGTCTCCTTGTTTCCCAGCACTATCTCGTTTCTTCTTTTGGTTGTCTCCGTCTGAGAATTGGGTCAGTTCTCGCAAGCTATTTTCTGCGTCGTCTATGGATCGGAGGTATTTTGGTTTTGTTTTTTTTTTTTTTTTGCTACAATTTGGGCTAAAGTGTTTTTAGAGTGAAGCTTGGTTTGAGTTTGGTTAATAATTGTTGGGCTATTGATTTAGGCCCTTGTTAGGCTATTGATTTAGGCCCTTGTTTAAGTGAATAGGTTGTTGGGCTTGTATTTGTTTAAGTGAATAGTTGTTGGACTATTGTTTTTTGAATAATAGTTGGGCTGAATTGTTTTGATCGGACAAAATTTATCTGGTTGAATTGGGATTAATTTCACGATCCCATCATGTCAACTGAGAAGAATGAGTCTGTTTGAATTCATTTTACTAGCAAGAACTATTCTTCATGGGCATTTCATTTTCAGTTATTAGTTGAAGTCAAAGGTGATCTATGGGGATATATTGATGGAAGTATTCCCCCTCCATATTAAGAAAAGGAAAAGGAAAAACATCTTGTTTGGAAAACAAAGGATTCTCGACTTATGGCTTGGATCATTGGATCGGTTGATACTCAAATTGTTCTTAATCTCAGACCTTATAAGTCATCCCGTGCTATGTGGGAGTACTTGAAGAAAATTTACACTCAAAACAACAATGCTCGACGACTTCAGTTGGAGTTTGAATTGACAAATTTCATTCAGGAGTCTCGGTCTATTGAAGAATATTATTCTAGTTTTTCTTACCTTTGGGCTGAATACATAGATATTATTTATGCTTCGGTTTCACCTGACAGTTTGGAGGATGTTCAAGCTGTACATGAAGTCACCAAGAGGGATCAACTTCTCATGAAATTGCGAAGTGATTTTGAACCCATTTGTTCCAGCTTTATGAATCACGAATCACTTCCAACTTGGATGGTTGCTTAGGTGAGTTACTGAGAGAGGAGTAGTGACTTATCACTCGTACCTCGTTGGAGCAACATTATCATCATGTAACAAATCCTGTTCCATATGCTATTCAAGGAAAATTCAAAGCTATTTCTGGTGTTCAATGTTACAGCTGTAAAGGGTTTGGCTATATGGCTCTTCAATGTCCAAGAAAAATGTGTAATTATTGCAAAAAGTCTGGCCATGTCATTAAGGAATGCCCTATATATCCTCCACGCAAGACTGGACCAGGTTATGTTGCTGCAACCACTTTAGCATCAAGTTCTGCTTCGTCATTTGCTCCCACTCAAGTTCCAGCCTCTCACGGTTCTACCCAACCTTCCATCACTCCTGAGATGATCCAACAAATGGTCATTTCTGCTTTGTTTGTATTAGGTGTTTCAGGTAAATCATCAACTGCTTCTTCTTGGTTACTGGAGTTAGATGCTTCTAATCATATGACTCATGATACTTAATTACTTAGTAATATTATACCATATACTAGACCTCTCCATATACACACTGTCGATAGTAATACTATTCCTATTTCGGCCGTGAGTAATGTATCACCAGAACTACCTAATGTTTTACTTTCCCAAATTTATCAACTAATCTTATTTCTGTTGGTCAACTTGTTGATAACAATTACACCGTGCTTTTTTCTCCTTCGGGTTGTCTTGTGTAGGATCAGGTGTCCGGGAAGACGATCATGAGGGGACCTAAGGCTTTTTTCTTATCGTTTCCTTCTTTTGGTTCTCGTGCTTCGCATATTTTTGATATAGTTCATAGTGATGTATGAGGATTAGCACCCGTCATATCTCATGCCCATTATAAATACTTCGTTACCTTTATTGATGACTATAGTCGCTTCACATGGGTTTACTTTCTTCATGCAAAGATTGGGGTTTTTTCTGTTTTACAGTCTTTCATTGCTTTCATTAACAACCAATTTTCCTCTTACATCAAGATCTTACGATCTGATTCCGGATGCGAATATACGTCCAATACGTTTCAATCTTACTTACAAACCAAAGGGATTATTTCCAGCGCTCTTGTCCTTCTACCCATCAACAGAAAGGGTGGCAGAATGCAAGAATCGTCATCTTCTTGACATGGTTCGAGCTCTTCTGATTGAGTTTTATGTTCCCTCTCGTTTTTGGTGTGAAGCGTTGTCTGTCGATATTCATCTCATAAATCGTTTACCTTCTCCTACTATTCATAATGTTTCTTCGTTTTATAAGCTCTTTGGTCATCATCCCACATATTCTCATCTTCGTCCCTTTGGTTGTGTTTGTTTTGTTCATTTACCACCTCTTGAAAGAACAAAACTTACACCTCAATCTGTCAAGTGTACATTTCTGGGATATGGTGATACTCAAAAAGGATATGTCTGTTTTGACCCTAAGGCACATCGGATTAGAATTCCCGTAACGTTGTTTTTTTTTTTGAAAAAAGAGTTTGTTCACTTCCGAAATTGCTGTCTCTCCGCCTGTGTTCTCTGTATTGGCTGATTTCCCTACAAAATTCTCTCGATACAAGCCTGGTCTAGTTTACTCTCGCTGGCATGCCACACCAGTCATTGGTTCCGAGCTTCATTCTCAGACACCTGTCTCCTTAAGCCCCCCTGATCCTCTACCTACGACATCAGATTCTTCACCAGATGATCTTCCACCTTCTGTAACTCTTCATCGCACTTTTCGTGTTCCTCGACCTCCAGATAGGTATGGTTTTTCTTCCCATAGCTCTATGTCTGCTACTCTTGACTCAATTTCCATTCATATCTCTTATAGATAGACTATGGAACAAGAGTGTTGGCGACGGGCAATGAATGCAAAACTTGAGGCTCTTAACGCCAATCAAACTTGGGATATTGTACCATGTCCGTCGAATGTGAAACCCATTGGGAGTAAATGGGTATATTCGATCAAACTTCGTTCTAATGGTTCTATTGATTGCTATAAGGCTCAATTAGTTGCCTTGGTTAACCGTCAAGAGTATTGAATCAACTATGATGAGACTTTTGCTCATGTGGCTAATAAGACCAATGTTCGGCAGTTATTATCTCTTGCTGCTTCTCGGTCTCGGTCTCTTCGTCAAATGGATGTAAATAACGTGTTTTTGCATGGAGACC